TTTTTTCACGTATCGTCATTGACTCCCTTGAGTGTATTCTGGCACATCCAGCCTCATAGCATGCACCAGCTGCCAGTCCTCCCATGCTCTGCCCTGGAGCAGGCAGACCCATGCTCTGGTCCACTGCTTCTATAGACACATCCACACTGACACTGGACCAGTCTGCTTGAGTATGGAGCATCCCTACCTGACTCCGGCATGTCGGAGAAAGCTGGGCACCTCGCTGCCCACAATTCTGCTCTACGTGGTGACTACAAAGAAGTGCCATGGGGACCGTGGGTGACAGACGAGACCAAAAGCTTACCTGTGGCCGCGGGTGTCCTGTGACCAGACACTGCAGGACCAGTGTGTCTCCTTCCCGAATCGTGTAAACGCGTTCACTGATATTGTCTTCCTTCACCACGCACGCCTGCCCAGCATGGATGATTTGGGCTTGAGCAGGAGCTGCGGGGAGGAAAAAAGAGGTAAAGAGGGAAATAAGCAGCGCCCCAGCCCCTCACACCCACAGCCCAGGGTGGCTGCTCCCATGGCAGGGTGGGAGAGCCACCTCTTGAGCCACAGAGAGGAAGAGCTGAACACAGAGATCTCAGGAGACAGACAATTGAGGGATTTTCCCAATCTCCTGCGCAGCTAGTATCAACTGCTATTTTAAAACCTTTGGTCCTGGCGGGATGAGCAGCTCCAGGCACTGAAAAGCAGAATACGGAGCTTTTTGGGGGGACAAACCTGCATGGGCTGAGGACCAAGATTTCTCTGCTCTCACCTCTTCCCAGAGAGGAGTACATGCAAGCAGTTCAAGCAGGGACCTGGTCAAATCACAACTGCTCCATGCCTGTCTAAAACAGGACTGATTACTATAATTTACCTTGCAGGGGGCTGGGATAAATACCGAGCAGAGTCAGAAAGGGCCTTGAAGCTCTGTGCAGCTTTTAGCACACATCCCTAGAACAGGCATAGTGCATGCTGCAGGAAAAAACAAGTCTTTCCCAAATTAGACTGCAACCTATGTCATCCCTGAGACCACGGGAACAGCCTCTATGGGATCAGGGGACCCGTTATCTCTAGGGATCTCTCCAGCTATTGCTGCAAGAAGAGCCCAGTTACTGCCAGTCCCGACAGGAAAACAACTCAAGACCAGTGCAGTGGAAAAATTCGTGGAAAGAAAGTTCCCAGAACAAAGATTCAAAACTTCATGCCCCCCAAGAGCAACTATGTCCCACTGTAGCCCTGACCTGCCGCAGGGAGAGATAAGCTCTAGGAGAACAGGATTTTATAAAGAAAAAAGCCCCAGATCTGGAGTCCCGTGCAAACAGCCCTCAGCTCCCTACTCAAGAAGTGTTTGTGTGGTCACCGAAGCTGCTGAGATGTATTGAAGGTGATGAGCAGACCAACAGGACACCTGTGCTCATTGGAGGGGAAGACTCCAGTCTCACTTCAAAGAACAGAGAAGCCCACCCATGTGTGCAAGAATTGGTGCCTCGGTGAGAGTCCCCCCGGGACACCTCCCTGTCTTGTACAATGCTTCTGGATGACTCTCGAGTCACAGCTCTAGCTCCTGTTGGTGAAATACAACACAAATGAACAAACCACTGAAGAGACAACCAAAGGGTTAAAAGCCATGAGCCTTAGCGAACCTTCTGAAACAAGCACAGACTTTGCACAACCTCTTAAAGCTGAACTGAGCCCCCATTTTCTCCTCAAGGTTAGTTGAGCTTCAAAGACTACTTTTCTTTTTTCCCCCCTTCATTCTTTTGGCATGCTCTAAACCCAGTCGCCTGTGCGAGGGAAGTGCTCAGATTTACGCTGGTTTAATCCACCAGCAGCACAGACCTGGGACAGGCTGGGCTCAGGCAATAGAGAAGATCTGCCACTGAGGTCAGCCTGGACAAACTGGTGTCACCATGATGCACTGAACAAGCCACAGGGTCACGGCCACCCAGCAGCACCGCACATGCAGCAAGCTACTCCCTCTTTTTGCACCTCCTCTGTCTTTCCCAGCATAGCAGCACTTTGTTAAAATCATTATTACTGTCCAAACTGTTGACTACCAGAAGCAACATGTGTATTTGAATAATACACCAGCACAAACATGGATGAATGCCTTGGCTTCTCCTGTCTTCCCCCTCTGCAGAGCTCCCAGGAACCGAACCAGAGAAGACATCATGAATATTTGTCAAGTGAACACTGGCAGGGGAGTAATTCAGAAGCCTATATAACCTTTGCCGATACACCTTAATCCAAACAACGGTCTCTTGTGCTGTTTCAGCCCTGGGATCAGTCCTCTGCAGACCTGCCATCACACCTTTAACCCCACGTGCACCGCAGAGCATCGCTTACACCGGCGAGACCCAGGCTGTGATGCTGAAAAACCTCTGCTCTGTGATTAAAAGAGAGACCCTGTCCCTTCCCATCCTGTACCATATTCTTCCCCACCCCTGACCTGTGCTGCCTGCATTTCGGTGGGGTCCTGGCTCCTGCAGCAGCAACGCTCTCCTTACCTCTCTTCACAGTCCCTGGGCTGCATTTGCCAGCTGGTGGCTCTATTCTCCCTTTGCAAACATGACCTTGCTGCAAAAACTAATTTCCAGACACCCCATGGAGAGTCAGAATACTTATCTGCAGCTCTAGCTCCCAGTTAAATGTTTCCTTAAGTTGCTCCGCTGAACCCCACATGGTATACAATGCAAGCCTTTCAGCTTACACTCTTTTTCCTTTGCTCATCCCACTTCCATCATTTCACCCATCTTCTGCAACCCTTTCCTGCCACCTGCCTAAAGGCATTTCCCACATGGGGAATTTCCACCTCAAAATCATTAGGTACAGTGGTACGGGAAGAGAGGATTTTTGTGCAACTATTTTGGTGCCAAAACTACCTTGTGGTAATTTGCTGGTGTCTCTCTGAGTTTGACAGAAATATTATTTAAACTAAACCTTATTTGGCACTACAAAGCATTACATGGCACTAGTCTACAGACAAATGACAGCCCTAGGGATAAGCCCTGTGCCATAATTTTGTCATCTTCTCCTAAATTCTCCCTGAGTCCACTGGACTGTAAGGAAGCCCACGAGCAAGGGTGTGCACATCCAGATTTGTTCTTGACTTGCTTGTGTCACCATCACTAATACCTTTCAGCCACATTCATGGGAGAGGGACACCCCTTTAAGTGAATCCCCACTGCTGAAGCTGTAAAATCTCTCTTGGAATCCCAGCACCAGGTCCCCAGCAGAACCATCACCATTTTTCCACTTCTTAAACCCCATACGAACCCAGATCTCTCAAAAGGGAGCTCAGAAAGCCTGGGCTTGTCTTGGAGAGAAAAGCACCAAGGTAGATGGAATGGGAGCCTGAGAAACTCTGCCTTGGATTACAACTGGACCTTAGTGAAGTGGTGGGGGCTGAGCAACGAACCAGCCCAGCTCTTAGGGGATTGCATTCAATCACAAGATGAGACTCGGGAAGGTCTCTGTTCCAGGCTCAGCCTGCCACAGCACACAAAGGCTGGGAAAATCACCTCGTGCTCTATTATGGATGGGCAGAGAGATGCTGAGGATTAATTGCACTTCTAATGTGCTTGAACAGAAAGAATACATGATTGTTTGCCATCATCCTCCTGGAGGATTTCAGCGTGGAGACAGTCTGTGCATTGCCAGCACAACAGGATGGCAGGACCATGCCTGTCAAACAGCTCCACAGAAGGTCCTCAGGAGGGAAAAGAGAGGCTGGAGCACGAGGCCAGGTGGGGCAGAAGCAGCAGTCATCCCAGCCACTCTCAGCAGTCCTCCACGAAGAACAACCCTTGCACAGACACAACCTGCCCTGCTAAACCCTGCTGGAGCACAGCCCCTCTCCCCAGGCCAGCAAACCCCAAAACAGAGGTCCAAGGAAGACCCCTGATGACTCCTGCAGGGATCGAGGGGACAGGGTGTTCCCTACCCCTTTTCCCAACATTTTGAGGGACAGATGCATCGTCACTTCCCTTCCACTTCCAGGGAGGAGATCAACTAAGGGAAGGCTCCCAACACAGAGTCCTCCAGAGCAACCGGGTCTGCCAAATCCTGAGTGCCAGATGCTTTACAAAGGGAAAAGTCAGGCTCTGAATTTTCTCCGAATTCTGCCCTGAGCCTGCAGCATTCGGCCCTTCCTTGGGAAAGGGCTGGTTTGCAACGCATTTGGCCTCTGCACTGAGATTTCCTACTAAGCTTTCACTTGATATATTTACACATTAAAACAAAAGGAAATTGGAGTGGATAAAATAACTTTATTCCCAGTGCAGTGTACTGTACAATGTTATTATTACCATAATCTGGAAAGTTTATGAGACTCTTGGTGCTCAGAGGTTGCTAATATCATCAAAATGCAGAAAAGAAGAGAGAAATGGTCTTTTGGAGAGGACTGAGCAATCTGTATTTGGTTCACAGGTCTAGCCATTCATCTTCCTGAGCCTGAGATCCCATCGCTTCAATGGCAATGAGGAGAGCTCCTTCCCAGAGAGGGTGGTAAGAGGCAGATACTGCACTGACACTCCCTCCGCCACAGTCAGCAGCCCCAAGGGTGGTCTGCTCACCCCTTCTGCAGCACAGCACCAGCTGCACCTTACTGCTGCCTTCTCAGCAGGCTAACACTGTCACTCTTAGGCTCTGCCCCATCACCACTTTTGCCACCTGCACATGTCCCACAGACGGCCTTGAGGATGCAGAATGTGCATCTCCAAAGGTCCTGGACCAGCACCCTGCATCCTGCATCCACCCACCTCAGACTTAACCACTCTGCTTTGCAAGGCAAGCGATGCCTTCCCCATACCTCTGATGTAATTAGAGTTCAGCCTCTTCTGCACATAAGCTGGGCAAAGAAGAACGCTCCTAGCCCACTCCTGTTCACAAGCTCCCTGGATTTACATTGCTCGGTTACATGGGAGCAGAGGCCATTGACTGCTAATCTGCTGCTTAAACCCCTCAAGAACCAGCCTGTCTCCTTCCCTCACCCTTCCCATCCTCAGCAAGTGGCACAGAAGGGATGCATCTTGAAGGGAATTCCCAGAAAGGAGAAAAATACACGGTGTTTGTGAAGCGTGTGGGGTTGAATCAGCATTTCATTAAGGAAACCCACATGTGGTGTTTTTGCTGAACAGCCACCCCCAGTAACAGCCTGTCCACGGGTGGAATTGCCCTGCAGCACCATTAGTTACAGACCCTGCATAGCAAAGCATCCCCGGCCTTGAAGTCCCTGCTTTTGTTAACATTTTGTCTCATCTGTTCATGCAATGCACAGCTCTCTGCTTGAAGAGCCAGAGCACCCAAACATGAAGATCTTTAAAGAAGGGGTCACGTCCCTTTAGCAGAGCACAAAGAGAAGCCAGCACACAACTAAAGGGATGAGAGACATGCTAGAAACACTCAGCAGGACCAAGGAAGGTCTGGTAGGATGGGAAGGGTCTGCAGGGGCA